GCACGACGAGACAGGGTCGCTCAGCTGTGAGAGAAATGTGATACCCTCCCCTGCCAAGCCGATGGGAGCGTGACCACGGGAAGAGCGGGTGCCGAAAACTTGCGGACGCGGAACGGAGCCAATTGCCAGCACAATATCGCCTACAGCTAACCATGAGCTGTCCATTTTTCCAATCATTTGCTGAATGGCAAGCGCACTGCAAAGGCTGCCAAGACCGAGCGTACGAAGCGAACGCACGGGCCTTACCCACACACAGACACCCACATGCAGCACTGAGATTGGTTTACCGACGAACAAATTCAAGAAGAAAGGGAATCACTTTAACAAGTTCCATTGGCGAGAAGTTCTACGCAGAGCGCAAGCACGGAAAATGTCATTGGCCAGCAGAGAGGCAAGACGAGAGGGGTAGGTGGCTTTGGCACTGGTGAAGAATCCTCCTCTTTTCATCGTGCCAGACAAATTCTCATGAGGCTTACCTGCAAAGTCACAAATGTTGCGGCCTCGGCAACGAAGGCGAAACAATTGGTCGGAAACGTGCATGTTAAAAGTGCGCAAACGTGTTCGGGCCCGAAAGGACCGTCCGCATGCACAATAATCAACTACACAGTCAACGGTCTTGAATCAAGCTAAATGCAGGATTTCCTCACCGCCAGGAACGTTGCGCTGCGCTGCCAACTGCAACAGTGCCAGAGCCCTCTGTGCGAGACGACTGGATTCTAACAGTTTGGCCTGATCCTTAACTTCAAGATGCGGCAACCCCTCAGGATGCTCTGAACTGCGGAGGGCATGTGGCAGGCGAGGACCTGGCGGCCCTCGGCGAGCTCGAGACATGCCTCCGCATGGCGTCCCCGACCACAGGCCCAGCACAACTCCGCCTGAGATCCAACCTCTGAGGCGAGAGTACACATCGTCGTTCAGCAGGTCCATATGAGGGCCTTGGCTGATATCGAAGGCGAGAACGGGTACCCCTTTTTTCTTCATAGCGGCTGCCAAGGCACCCGTACCCGCAAACAGCTCGAGGAAGAAGCGAAACTGGCGGGAGGGTCGAAGAGCCTGGTGGAGCGCACTCTGAAGTCGCGCACCGCGCGATACGTACGATTCGTGAAAGTCTCGCGAACTGATGTGGGGAGCCGTTGCAACTGAAGGTTCACCCTGCCGTGCTTGGTGTACATTACCACGCTGCGTGCACTCTCCGCCTGCCGTGGCTGGCCTCTCCATGCCTGAAGCAATGTGGAGTGGGCTGCCAGAAGCCGATGCCCTGCTCTGACGCCGCCTGTTCGAGCAACCTGAGCAAGGCATTGTGCGATGTTGACCCCGCATTCCATGGATCGGTCTTTGCACGCTCTCTTGACCGTGCCCAAGAGCATGCCGACCCCACGCTGCTCCTGCAGGTCGAAGGCACAGATGTTGTCCAGCTCTTGCGTTTTCGAAAGCACCTGCAGCTCTGCGGCGATGAGCGCCATGGTGGCGCCGTCCGCCACACCTGGCGATCGTGGGTCGTGCTCTACGATCTGAAACATACCCAGAGACATCAGCATGCCGACGCGACAGTACGTCTCGAACATGACCCAGCACCCGAGCACGGCTCTCTCCTGGCCGTAGTCCAGCAGCAGGCACGCCATGGCGTAAGCGGCTTGACTGGGGAGCGGCGGCCTCGAAGATGGAGGGCTGAATCTGGCCCAGCCCAGCCCCGCGGCAAGAGCCGGTAGAACCAGCAGGCGGGCCGCCCCTCCCAGGTGCGGCGAGGCCCGCAACAGCGCATACAGCACCCGCATGGTGGATTCCATCGACTCCTGTTGGCGGAAGCGCCTCTCGATGACATCCCACGAGAGCGGGCCCCAGGCAGCGGCCGACAACGGCGGTAGGGTCTGACACTGCAGAAACGCCACCAGTTGCTCGAAGATCCCCAGGCAGGCCAACTGCGTGTTCTCTCTGATGCGATTGGCTGCCAGGGATGTAAGTCGCGGGACCAGGCGGCCGCGCAGCCGCGCCAACTCCACGTCGCGCAACCGCGCGGGGTGGCCCAAGTCCTGGCGGCGGCCCGAGGCGCACGCGAGCTGCGAAGCGGGCCGCGCACCGCGCTGCCGCAGGGTGACGGCTGTCGCGCCCGCAGGCCCTCAAGCGCGATCCCGCATCGCGGACAAAGTCCGCTGGCGAGCAGCCTGTCCCGAACGTACTGGGATGTAGCGCCCCGCGTGTGTCGTGGCCCCTCGACCCATCATGGCGATCAGATGGCTGCGGATGCTCTCCTGACGTGTCACCCCACTTGGGCATGTATCGACGCGAAGGCTTATCAGCCGCATTTCGTTCAGACGGGATCCACCGATGGGTAAGCTTGAAATCAGCCACCAGACTGATTGCCAGGATCTCGCGAAAGATCGAGTTCAGAAAGAAGTCAGTTGCTCTGTCCTTGCGCATAGCACAAATGAGACTCATGATGTCACCCAGGAAGACGAGACGGTGTGAATGGCACTTGCTGTTTCTGGCGGCGCGACGCACCCCGTGTAACAGCGAGGCTCCCTCCGACAGGTGTACCGGCTAGCGCGCAGCAAACGACCTAGCTGCGACCGTGCACCAAGACACCTCTCTCAGAAGATCTGGGTCCACCTCGGGGAAGCCTGCCTCGACACCCGCCGACAAGATGGCATCGCGATCACAGGGGATCTTGAAGTCGTAGTCACCGGCGTCATGGTCAAAGAGATGGTCTCTTGGTCGACGATTTGTAGCCAGCAGTCCCTTCCACCTGGCAGGATCATTGAGCCGCCCGATCTGGCCCACAATGGCTGAAGAAACTGGGGACTCGCACGCCCCATAGCCCCGTGGGCTGGCGTCATAAGCCGCTATCTTGTTGAACCAGGTCCTGGACATGTCGGCTGTGACCAGGGGGGGAAGAGCACGACACCACTTCAGCTCCTTGCGCACTGATGGCCAAAGTGGAACACGGCGGCCCTTTGTCTCCTGGGCAGAGGTGTACGCTGCGTGCAACAGCGCCAGCATCTCGCGCCGTAGCATACAGCAACTGACCAGATGTCCGAGGAGACGCTCCATGCCCAAGCCCGTGAACCCCTGCTTGGCCCCGATCATGAAGTCCAAGGCGCCCTTGACCTTCCAGAGCTTCCGCGCGCTCAACGTCCATGTAGCGCGGTGCTCTATGAGAGAGGAGCCCAGAAGGTCGTGAACGCCGAAGGTGTCTGACTCGGGGTCCAGCTCAGCGCGCGCACCCACCTCCGTCAAGGCGCCCATCATGTCCGCGGTGGCGAGCTCAGGTCGCGAGCTAGCGGGCCCCACCGTGGCAAAGTTGTCGATGTAGAGAATATTTGCCAGGTTCCCGTGGCTGATCGGCTCGGTCGGCACCTTGTCCAGAACCCAATCATCCTGGGGCCGCACTGGCTTCAGTAAATTCAGGCGTGCATGTTGTACGAGGCGAACGGGCCAGGCCCATCCCATCGGCACGACGCGCGATTGAAAATGCAGCTGACCGTCCAACGCCAAGTGCCCCACACGCTGACGGACCGCCCTGGGCAAGTACTTCACGTCGATCGCCTTCAGCGCGAGACAGGGCCGCAAGGTCTTAGGCAACCTATACTGGTAGAAGCAGACCTCCACGTCAGCGCCGGGGGGGGCGATCCTCTCGCCTGCCACGCTGGCGCCCACCTCCAGCGCTGCCAGAGCCTCACCCGAGGGCAAGACCGTGAAGGGAGGCGGCAGGGAGTGGGCATTGGACCGTCGCGTGCCCCATATGAGTCGCAGGCGCCCGTCCTTCTTCGGCGCGAAGAAGAGCCCGCGCACTTCGCGAGGGCTGCTGCAAGCCTCGATTGCCCCGAGGTCGAACAGCTCCCCCAGGAAATGACCGTGGTCGGCGCCGCCCTTGCGCAGGTTGGCGCCCATAGCAGGCCGCGAGGGAAAATCCAGAAGAACATGATCGCGGTCATGATCATCGCGAAAAAGGCCCTGACCACTTACCAAAACTGACTGCAGGTCGGGCTGAGGCAGTCCAGCAAGGGCACGCCACCAGCTCTAACCCGCGGGAGCGACACGTCGCCCCGCCTGTAACTAGCAATCTCGCCATCGGTCAGCGTGTCAGCATAACCGCTCCTCGAACCCTGAAGCGCCTTAAACGCCCCCTGGGCGTCGAAGTCTGATGGTGGGGGCCCGACGCTGCCATAGGCCCGAGCGAGGTGGCGAACCGCAAGTTGTTGCTGAAGTGAAAGCCGACGGCGAGCATCAGCAACTTCGCCACGACCGCCCGACTCGCTCAAGGCCGCAATCCCCTCGCGCAACCACCTCGCATGTGCAAGACGCTGCCCCTGGCGGCGACGGCGAGGACGATCAGGGGGAACCGCCTCGCCACGCAGCTCAGCAGCTAGCCCAGGACCCAGCGGCAGCGGGAGGATGTCACGCTGAACCTCCATGGCTCCGACAGTCGCCAAGCGCGCACAGACCGCCACGCACGCGCCTCCCCTGTGGGAAAAGCCCACCGCCCGGGGGCGACGGCAGGCAACCGGGTGAAGAAGAGGAGCAGGCGCTAGGCCCGCCCGCGGCCGCGCCCTCTCCCACGTCTTGAGGGCTGGCCAGAACCTCCTGAGTGAGCTCAGTCGGCGCCAGGAGGTCCCGCGCCAGGAGCTGAAGATGTAGTAGGGCTCGCATGGTCACTGCGAGCGAGGCGTCGTCCTTCGCGGCCTCTACGGCGTCCTTTGAACACTGCGCTCTCCACTTGGAGCTTGAAGCCACGTACTGGTCAGGCTGGGGTGAGACACTGGCCAGGCCTTTGATCCTGTAGCTTCCCAAGAAGAGCCACCTCTCGCTGAGATCGTCCCTATGTTATCCTGCCTCTGCGAGCCTCTGCGCCTCCGAGTAGAACTCCTCCCCGAGCTGGAAGCGCCGTGAGACAGTCTCGAACGCCTCCTGCGCCTCGCTGTTGAGGCCGTCGCTGGTGATCGTCACTATCATCAGCTCACACCAGTAGCAGTGCTCCTCACCTCCAGGGTCAGTTGACGTGAGACCCACGACCTGTCGCCACCAGAAGTGCCGTTGCCTCGGTGTCGTGCTGGCCTCGGCGTAAGTCTGCACTGCCTACATCGTAGTCTGTGGGCCCTGCGTCCGCCAACTGGTGTCGTTAGGTGCACGTGCAAAGTCGCCATCCGCCGTCCCGCCCAGCAGTCGTACATCCAAGGGCCCGGCACGAGGCGTAGTCGTGCCTCCTGTCGAACCTCCGATACACACAGCGATGAGTCCGCTGGGCAGGTCCACAGCCCCGCGGTCGCCAGAGCGAAGCAGCGGCACCCACTGAAGGGAAAGGGGATCGCACTGCTTTTAGCCGTGTTGCGCATCCAGAGTCACCCAATGCGTCTCCGGGTGGCACTCCACGACGGGCTCGGCTGCGGTGGTGGGTGCAACCTGCTGGTCGTCCACAGGGGCTTCACCCGCCCCTCCGACTGTCACCAGCTCGTCCGTGAGCTTCGCCCCTGACTCCAGGTGCTCCAGGTAGTGGTTCTGGTGGCGGTGCCCCAGCGGGTACAGCTCCTTCCCGTACAGAGTGAGCGGCGTCCCGTCCTTGGGGCCGCAGCTCAGGATCTCCAGCGCCTCGCTGCGGGCCTCATGCTGATCCCGAGTCGGAGTCTGGACCACCCAGGACCACGCGTCCAGACGACCGCGACCGCAGAGAAGCCTCACGTCCCAGGGCGCCCCCTCCCGGCTGTAGAGCACGCACTGGAGCAGCCCTGGCGTCATCGATCGCAGCCAACGAAGGGCTGGTGGTTGTGAAGCCGCCATACTGCAGGCGACAGAAGATCACGTAGCACACGAAGCAGAGGAACACCCCCGTGATCAGACCAACGGCGAAGCCCGCCGCCGCAGGTGCCAGCACCGGTGTCGGTGCGCAGATGCACGGGCTCGGGGCGGCAGCTGTCAACTGGTCAGGCCCACAGCGATCCAGTTGACGTTGCAGTACTGCAATGATGTCACGGTCGATCCCGCCCGAGACCTCGCACTCACACCAGCAGATGCACCGCTGCCCTCCAGCGCTCCAGTATCCAACAGCGTATCCCGCGGCCTGGGCGAGGTACGGAGACAGCGCTTGCATCGGCCAGAACCCTTTGTGCCGAAAACTTGCGGACGCGGAACGGAGCCAATTGCCAGCACAATATCGCCTACAGCTAACCAAGCAGTATCTGGACCTGTGGGGGCAGCACTGGGCGACGCGCCACCGTTCTCTCCCCCTCCAACTGGTGCCGCTGCTCATCGGAACCCCATCGCGCCGAAATCAGGATCGCCATCCCTCCCAGTGTGTCATTATACACGTCGCGTGTGGATACAGCCGAGCCCAAGGAGGAGCAACACCCAGCTGTCCAATCCCAAGACCGAGGAGCCTCCGATCGCTTGCCGATGAGACGAGCTTCCTGGGCGACGACCATGTCGAACGTCGTTGCCCCGGGACCGTCCTTGGACTACTCCAAGAGGCTCCCTGCCGTCGCCCAGGCATTGCTGTTGTGCGTGATGACTGTCAGCACTGGCTGCATATCCGCCCGAGGCGAGGCCTTCCCATCTACTCCACGATTCGCGCGACCAGCGGGGGCTTCGGCCACCCCCCTCAGGAGAAGCCCTGCGAGGGGCCGCTCTGCCGCGCACGGTATAGGTCAGTTCCTCCTCCGAACTTCGGCCACCTCCCCCCTGGGGCTCCGTGAATGGCCGCCTCGGCGTCGCTACTTCCGACCGAACGGCCTCCTCCTCCTCCTCCTCCTCCTCCTCCTCCTCCTCCTCCTCCTCCTCCTCCTCCTCCTCCCCCTCCTCTACCTCCCTTGAGGAAGACCCCGCGAGCAGCAGCGCCTCCCCGCTGCGGCTCCCGACGGGAGTCGACTCACGGGTCGGGGCCGTGCGCTAGAGCCGAGCCGGCAGCGCCTGCTGCTTGGCCATACGTGGACATAGCACCGTCCACTTTGGAAGTGGGCCCAAGCATCTTGAAAATACCTCCGCTCCAGCCCAAGGTCGACAGAGGAGAAAGAGGAGGAGGAGGAGGACGACGAGGAGGAGGAGGAGGGGAGGAAGAGGGGGCCCCCGATTCCTGGGGCAGGGGGGAGGCCAGCGGCACTGGCCGAAGGCCTTCTGATGAGCTTTCGCGGACCCGTCTTCGGGATGGAGATCTCCCCGAAGCCAATCTGCGAGCCACACGGGGGGGGGCAGCAAAGCGACGATCATCATCTGGATCCTGCGGATGCTGCCTGCAGCTGCTGCCAGCTGCTGCTACTGCTGATCGGCTCAAGCTCCGTAGCCATTTCGGCTCGAACACTTGGCTCCAGCCTTCAGGGCTAACATCGACCAATGTCAATTTCCAAGGGGGGAGGAGCCTTTAGCAGGTGTACGCGCGAATCCCAGAGAGAAAACAAACAAAACAAAAAAAACTGATGATGCTGCGAACTGCTGCAAGCTGCTAACCACGCTCCTGGAGCTCATCGTTAAAAGAACATGTCCAACCCCTACGCGCTCCTTAAGCCTCTGAGCGTCACCTCCATCATCATGTCCAGCATCATCCATCCTCATAATTATCTTGATCATCATCATCATCATCCTCCTCTTCGTCAGCAGCATCAGCATCAGCAGCATCATCAGCATCAACATCATCATCATAATGAAAATTAGCATCAGCATCGTCATCATAATCATCGTCATCACGACCACCAGCATCACCACCTTCGTCATCACCATCGTCAGCATCATCATCAGCATCATCATCATCGTCAGCATCATCATCAGCATCGCCATCAGCGTCATCATCACCAACATCATCGACATCCATATCATCATCATCATCGCTGGAATCAACATCATCATCAGCAGCATCATTGCCGTCGTCACCATCTTCACAATCATCATATCCACCATCACACTCACAGTCGCAATCATCATTACTAGAACTGCAACCATCAGCATCAACTCAATCATCATCCACATCAGCATCATAATCAGCGTCAACATCATCGTCAGCATCATCATCACTACCAGCATCACCATCATCATCAACATCAGCATCAGCATCATTGTCACCATCACCATCACCATCACACCAGCATCATCATCATCAATTCACCCGCATCAGCATCATCGTCATCGTCATCACCATCATCAGAAGCATCAGCACCAGCAGCAGCATCGTCATCAGCATCGTCATCAGCAGCATCATCATCATCAGCATCAGCATCACCATCATCAGCATTATCGTCGTGATCATCATCAGCATCAGCATCAACAGCATCATCATCATCATGATCAGCATCATCATCATCGCAACCATGATCAATCTGGTCATCCAAACCATCCTTCTCATCTCCCCTCTGTGTTCTCAGGCATCCATTCAACTTCCGGCTCCCTCCCACAAACACCCCTCCTCCTTCTCCTCCTCCTCCTCCTCCTCCTCCTCCTCCTTCTCCTCCTACTCCTACTCCTCCTCCTCCTCCTACTCCTCCCCCATCCTCCTTCTCCTTCCTCTCCGATCCCCCCCCCCCTCCTCCCCATCAGCCCTCATGTTTACTGTATCTTCACCCTCGCCTCCGCCCTCCCTATTCCTGCCCCTCACCGTTGCTCTCACCTCCTCCCCTCTCCTCCGCTTGCTCATCAGATTCTGTGTCCTCTTCCCCCTCCTCCTCCTCCTCCTCCTCCTCCTCCTCCTCCTCCACCACCTCATCGTCATCAGCATCATGCTCATCATCATCATCATCATCATCATCATCATCATCATCATCATCAGCATCGTCATCATCAGCAGCATCATCAGCATTGTCAGCATCATGATCATACTGCCCCTCCGCCTCGTGCGCCTCCTCCTCCTCCTCAGAATCACCATCAGCAGTATCAGCATCAGCATCAGCATCAGCATCAGCATCAGCATCAGCATCAGCATCAGCATCATCATCATCATCATCATCATCATCATCATCATCAGTATCAGTATCAGTATCATCATCATCATCATCATCATCATCAGCATCATCATCATCATCATCACCATCATCATCATCATCGTCGTCATCATCATCATCATCGTCATCAATACCATCAGCAACATCATGACAATAATGATATTAATAATAATAACAATAAAAATAAAAATAATAATAATACATCATCGTCATCGTCATCGTCATCGTCAGTGTCAGCAGCAGCATCACCATTATCATTAGCATTAGCACCAGCATCAGCAACACCATCAGCAGTAGCATTATCAACACCAGCATCGTCATGATCATCAGCAGCCGCAACAATGTCGTCGCCATCATCAGCAACAACATCATCAGCAGAATCAGCCTCATCCGCACCCGTATCATCAGCATCTACATACGCATCGTCATCATCATCTTCGTCATTCACATCAGCATCATCAGCATCAGCACCATCAGCATCAACAGCAACAGCTGAAGCATCATCAACCACACCATCATCAACAACGGCATCGTCGTCCTCCTCCTCCTCCTCATCATTAGAATCATGGTGATGCTGGTGAGGTTGGTGCTGAGGATGATGATGATGATGATGATGATGATGATGATAACGATGGTAGTGATGGTGATGATGATGCTGATGATGGTGATGGTGCTGGTGATGATGGTGATGGTGATGATGATGACGATGACGATGGTGCTGGTGGTGATGATGAGGATGACGATGATGATTATGATTAAGATGATGACGATGCTGATGCTGATGCGGATGCTGATACTGATGGTGATGTTGATGCCGATGATGATGTTGATTATGATGTTGATGCTGCTGATGCTGATGCTGATGCTGCTGACGATGATGGTAATGATGATGGTGGCGGTAATAATGACGATGATGACGATGATGATGCTGATGATGATGTTGATGATGACGCGCCTTCGAAGGCTGTCTGGATACGATGATACGTTGTCCTCTCAGCAGTCGATCAAGGATTCCTAGTTCTATAGTTAGATGTTGGCGCCCATCTCGTCCATCGCACGTTGTGCCATCTGCGTCATTGTGTTCTGGTGCCTCGGTCCCTCTGTGGGGGGACATTGAGGACGACGAGGACGGGGAGACGCGGGATCGGGAGCAGGAGCAGCGTCGACAGCAGGAGCAGCTGCGGAAGCGGGGGCAGGCCTTAGAGGCAGGCCTGGGGTAGGCCACACTGCCGCACTGTCGGAACACGGCGACTCCAACGTGGCCAACATCTGCACACGACGCGGCTGGCGATCCGCCAAAAATGCGTCCTTGCGATCGCTCATGCCGAAGTGCTCCTCCTTCTTGGTGATCTCGCGGGGGGGGGAGGACGCACAAGGACGTACCAGTACTATGTGTCTTTCTTGGTGGCGAGCGGCCGACCCGGACATTTAGTATACCCATCTTGTAATACATCATTTCCCGAGCGATGTGGCCAGAATGCGCCCACCACGACGCACACACTATAAGATTTCTCGGTGCGCGCGTCGCCCCTGGGAAAGGGCGACGCACACACAGCATTAGTAAGTTGGGGGTACGCCGAGAGCCGTTGCCTGAATCGAGGGCACGTGGCCTGGACGGGCAACCTTCCGCGGGACCGGTCGGCAACCCGGAGGGGTTCCCCCCTATCGGGTCGGGCGAAAGGGGGGGATAGCAAAGGGGGGGTTTGAGAATCAGCTCACGCAGCTGATTTTCCCGGCGCCTCCCGGCGCCGGAGGCGGCTATGTATCGAGGAATGGGCCCCTCGGTGAGGCCGAAACCAGCTGCATGCAGCAAATTTCGTAACCCCCCCCCTTCCCAATCCCCCCTTTCGCCCGACCCGACCCTGGGCCCCGGGGGTCGCCCCCGCGACTCGTGCCCGAACCCCTCAACCCCCACGGCCGGAGCCCTGTTCTTCCTTCCGCGGGGAGTCCACCTTCGCGGCGACCCGTGAAGCCTGGGATCCTTGGCGGCGCACGGATGCAGTGGAGGCGGAGGAGGAGGAGGCGGAGGAGGTGGAGGGGGGGGAGGAGGAGGAGGAGGAGGAGGAGGAGGAGGAGGAGGAGGGAGGAGGAGGAGGAGGAGGCGGAGGAGGAGGAGGAGGGGAGGAGGGGAGGAGGAGGAGGAGGAGGAGGAGGAGGAGGAGGAGGAGGAGGAGGATGTCCTTCTCCCGCGAGCGTCTTGCCGCTGGGAAACCCCGCGCCCACGCGAGCAGCAGCCCGGGTGCACCGGCACGCCGGCACGCGCGAGAGACCCCTGCGGCCGTGGGTCGGGGCATCCCTCCACCCCTTCGGCGCGTCTGCATCCAAATCGTCTTTTGTGACGGTCGACATCGAGGATCGAAGGGGATCGAGGTTCGAGGATCGAGACTCGAAGGAGATCGAGGATCTGAGGATCGAGTGGGGAGCGAGGCTCCGAGGATGGAATGGGATCGGGGTGCGAATCTGGGAGGAGCGGCATGAATCGTCACATACAAAAACCTGGTTACTTCTGAGTTCGAGCTCCGACCAGACAGGTGCAGGCCAGTCGAAGCAGAAGGCAAGGTGCTGTGATGTGGCACGCGACTGGTTTCGTTTCCACGGCCGTTCTGTTCCCCCGCTGGATCTCGCAAAGTCCTGGTTTGCAGAGTCCTTGTTCCTGCGGCCCTGGGGGGCTGTCGAGGAGGGGTGGTGTCGTCTTGCAGGTGCGCCAAACGGCGCACCACACGGGACTGCAATAGATGCGGCCACCTTCGGTGGAAACTCATGGGAGCCTCCCATGCCATCTTGCTGGCTCTTGCGAGTCGACGCTGGTCTACGCTAACCGACGACGACGACGACGACCAAGACGACGACCGGCGACCGATGACGATGGTTGACGACGACGATGACAATGTCGAACGACGAACGACGAAAGAAGCACGGTCAGCGATGACGGCGACGAGGACGACGGACGAGCGACGACCCACGACCCACGGTCGACGACGATGACGACGACGCCTGACAAAGAAGGCCGACGAACGGCAATCGGAGACCGACGACGTACGACGACGACGCCTGACAAAGAAAACCGACGAACGGCGATCGAAGACCGAGGACGTACGGCGACGACAACGACGACGATGACGACGACGACGAGGACGACGACGACGACAACGACGACGACGACGACGAGGACGACGACGACGACGACGACGACGACGACGACGACGACGACGACGACGACGACGACGACGACGACGACGACGACGACGACGACGACGACGACGACGACGACGACGACGGCGGCGGCGGCGGCGGCGGCGGCGGCGGCGGCGGCGGCGGCGGCGGCAGCCGCCCGCGCGGGAGCGGGAGCGGCGGGGCGCGTGTAGCGCGCGGACTCCGGCCCAGCGAGGTGAGGCGCAAGCCCACTGCCGCGGCACCCGGGCGCACTGCGGGTCCTCTGGGTGCTGCCCCGCCATCAGTGCGGTCAGCCCGTACTCCGAGTTTCTTAATAAGCGTCGGGGGGGCGTCACCCCCGCCGACAGCCCTCATCGACCCCCGTCGCGAGCAGCCACCGCGCGCCGAAGCCGCTCCGACCTCCGTCGCGGCGCGACCACGAGGCGAGGTTGACCCCCTTCGCGGGGGTACCGCCCACGCGTTTTCAAGAAGCCCAGAGTATGTTAAGGATGCGCGATAAGGACGCAAGGGCCTTGGACGCCCATGCCGAAGCTCTTTGAGCGGGCCGCAGCCAACGAAAGTGGCCGAGGATGGACCGAGGAGGCAAGGATGCAAAGGCACCCTTGTGAAGGTTGCCCATCCTTACTATGCGGGTCGACTGCATGATGACCTCGCGGGAGGTCCTCGTGGCGACGCCCCCGACCAGATGGCTTCAGAAGGTGAGGCATAGGCCCACTGCATCTGCACCTGGGCGCACTGCCAGTCCTCCCAGTGCTACGCACCTTCAGCATGATGACCTCTTGGGAGGTCGTCGTGACTGTTCCTGGTCGGCTTCTTTGTGTTGAACAGGCTGGTGGTACTGCTCAACTCCTCTGCGCTGGGTCCAACTAGCAGTTGGCCTTCCCGCGCGTCAGCGTGGTGCTGCTCGATTCTTTCGTGTCGGCCAGAGGGTTACCACGTGGCACCGTTGGGCTGTCTGTAACCGTGTTGATCCGCTCGATCATGCCGCGTCGCGCTGCTCGGCGGGGCTGCGCTCATCAGCGCGGTGTCGTCCGAATCCTAAGGAAGCGTTTCTCTATGTTCGGCGATGACGGGCGTCATGCGGGGGGGGGGAAGGGCGAGGGGGGGTATGACGTGACGCCCCCCCCCCCGCCGTGTGGCTCCGGCACCACAGCCGCGCCCGCGCGCACGACGCGACGAGCGACGAGCGACGAGCGACGACGACGCGAGCAGCATGTAAGTGGCGATCTGCCCATTGCGCCTGTGTGCACCACAACGCTCGCGTGCACCACACCGCGCGTGTGCACCACAACGCCTGCGTACACCGCAACAGCCGTGTGCAACGCACCGCCCGTGTATACCACAATACTTGGGAGCACTACAGCGCCGGTGCACATACACCGCAGCAGCCATGTGCAACACAACGCCTGTGTACACCTCGGTGTTTGCGTGCACCGCAGCGCCTGTGCACGCCACAGCGCCTGTCTACACCACAGCATCCGCGTGCAACGCAGCGCTGGTGTACACCACAGTGCCTGCGTGCATAGGACAAGTAGAAGGACCATGTACGTCAGGATCTGATGCGGGCAACTAAACGCCACGCCAGGAAAGATTTGATAATCGAATGCGACGTTTTTCCCTCCTCCCTCCTCCTCCACCTCCTCCTCCTCCTCCTCCTCCTCCTCGCCCTCCTTTTCCTCCTTCTTACCCCCTGTCGCGCGGCTTGGCGGCACAACGCACGTGCGCATCTCAGCGTGCGCCGCAGAATGGTCGATTGAATCGGGCCACTTGGTTCTCGGACGGCCAGTTTAGCTGGAGCCTCCTGGACGCAAGCGGGAGTTAGGGTGATGCGGGCGGACTCGGGGGGACTTGTAGATTCCAGCGGCGCTCCTTTGTCCATGAGGATTTGTTTTCCATTGTTTTCTCTGGAATCCACACGCGCTCCATTTTGCCACAAGGATTCATTCTGAAATTCTATACACAACAATGGTGCTGTGTTGCACACGGCTGATGTGGTGCACACAGGCGCCGTGGCGCACACAGGCACTGCAATGCACGCAGGCATTGTGATGTACATTGGTGCTGTGTTGCGCACGGCTAATGTGGTGTACGGAGGCGCTGTGGTGTACACAGGAGCTGCTGTGTCCGCAGGCACGGTGGCACAAACTGACGCTGTGTTGCACGCGGCTGGTGTGGTGTACATCGGCGGTGTGGTGTACACAGGCGCTGTGGTGCACGCGGGCACTGTGATGTACACAGGCGTTGTGGTGCATATCGCCACCTACATGTTCGTGCTACCCGTCCTCCGTCATTCCTAACCATTCCCAATCGCCGCCGGCGTGAAACGTGACGTCATCGACCCCCTCCCCCCCCAGATGATTGCCGTCATCGGCCCGGACTGAAAAACAGGCTCCAGCCGCGTCCGCGCGCACGACGACGATGAGCGACGAGCGACGAACCACGAGCGACGACGACGAACGACGACGACGACGACGACGACGACGACGACGACGACGACGCCTGCGGACCAGACACCTATGCGGATTCCTACGCGGACACCTACGCGGATCCCAATGCGCACGGCGGCAGTGCCCGGAGCGCACTGGGGGGGGGGAAAGTTACGTCATAAGGGGGGGGGGGGAGCGGGGGCCATGACGCCCGTCATGCCCCAAGCAATAAAGAAATGGCCTCTAAGCGCTCCGCAGTGGTGCGAGCAGCGCGAGAGCTGTGCTGCTGGCGGTCGCGCTGCTCCGCTCGGCCGCACCTGCTCAAGTCCGCTACGCAAGCCTGAGTCGAGTTGCTCAGCGTCGCCGTGCCCGCCTCCGACGTGATGGTAGGTGCGCTGCTTCTCGCCGCTGCCACTTGCACTGGTCGAGGCCGCGCAGTTCCGCTCGAACTGCTGACGAGAGCCGTATTGTGACCTGTTATGGGGCTGGTCGACACGGGTGCGCCTGGATCTACGTCGCTAGCCCAAGTCTCCATCCCGAATGCCAATCGAACGCAGCCTCACACCATCTGCCGAGCCCGATGCAAAGACCCTGGACTCGCACAGCTAGGCAAATGCATGTGTCACAGAGCCGGTGCTGGACAGTGGCACAGGGAAGAAAAGACAAGCGCCTTACTCGAACAAAACGGACCTTATAAGCTAGCTAGTACCGTAGATGGCGACCTAGCGAAGGTAGAATGCTAAGCTCCGTGAATCCAAATGCTCAAATACTGCACACTTCTGCCGTGTTGGTCGCAGGGGCGCTGCTTGCTGCAGCTGTGCTGATCGTGGGTACGGTAGGTTCGTGCGGCGTCGGCGCACGTGAAGGTTTCTGTCACCGGGTCGATCGTTCAACATTGAATCGATCGTGGCCCCGAACGTTCAAAATTGAATCCCGTCGGGACCAATGGCGCTACAGTGTCCCTTGGTGCTTCCGCGTCGCAGAATTCAACCTTGAACGCCTTCGCCGGCGTCGGCGCGCCAACGCCCCATGAACCTACCGTACGTTGCTCCGCTTGGTCATGCTCGTCAGGGTTGCGCTGCTCGACTCTGTCGCGCTGGCCAGAGTTGCGCTGCTCGCCATGTTCATGTATGTGCAGCTGCTGGCGTTTGGCTCGAACTACTCCTCGTCCATCAACTGCAACTGCGCATTCCGCCCTCACGGCTGATTTCAGATCATGGCCTTCACCCGTGTAGCCCAACTGCCTCAATTACCCAACCACCATCTCAAATACTGCACACGCCAAACGGGAGCACCTTAGCGCAAGCAGTGCCACTTACGGTAACAAGGAGGAGTAGGGAAAACAAACGACAGGAGGGGGGGACTCGGAGGAGGCAGGAGGAAGCGGAGGAGAAGGGGGTGGAAGGAGGCGAAGGAGGATGAGAATGTCAGGCGGAGGAGGGAGCGTCAGGGGGAGCCCCCCCCGCGCTGGCGCGGAAGGCGCAGGCCTTCTTCGACGCGTAGGGGTCGAAGGGGTACGCCTGCACGGCTTTCGGCGCGGACGGGAAAAGCGGAGGAGGAGGAGGAGGAGGAGGAGGAGGAGGAGGAGGAGGAGGAGGGGGGGGGCAGGAAGAGGAAAATGAGGGAGGAGGACGAGGAAGAGCATGCGGAAGAGAAGAAGAGTGAGAGGAATCCGCCGGTCTCCCTGTGGAGCCATCAAGCTGCGCGGGTTGGGCGTACTGCTCCCTGCTCTAGTTCCAGTTTCGAGTCTCCCGATTTATAGTCATACTTTTCAGTTCCTAGTCTAAATGATTGAAGCCCGCGCGAGGGAAGGGAGGGGGGGCAAACCAGATTTCTACCACGCCCAAACCGCGGCGTTGCCTGAATTTCTGCCGGGTCGCAGGACACGTAAGAGTACTGCAGGGTCGCGCCCCCGAGGTCACGATCCCTCCAGGACTACACCGTAGTCATGCCCCCGAGGCCCCGATCTCCTGTAAATTACGCCGTGCTCGCGTCTGCGAAGCCACGATCCCTCCCCGATTACACCGTATTCGCGCCCCCTAGGCCATGACCCCTGGCAAATCACTCAATACTCGCGTCCCCAAGGCCACGATCCCTTCCAAATGACTTAATTTTCGCTTCTCCGAGGCCACCGTTCAGTAAATTACGCTATGCTCGCATCCCCGAGGCTACGATCCCTGGTAAATTACACGATCTTCGCGTCTCTGAGGCTACGGCCCTTTTTACATGACACTATAATCGCGTCCCCGACCACACAATCCCTCGAACATTACCCTGTATTCGAGTCTCCGAGGGTACGATTCTTAGTGAATAGTATTATTTTCGGCTCCCCAGGTCCACGACCCCTTCTGAAAATAAACAATACTCGCGTCCCCGAAGCCACAATCCATTGAAACTGAATCAGAATTCGCGCCCCCGAGAACACGATCCCCAAAACATTAATCAACATTGGCGTCTCCGAGACAACGATCCTTCTTGAATTGCTCTACGTTCGCGCTTCCGAGGCGACGATCCATTTCAAAGTAGGAAATCTTCGCCTCTGCGAAGCCAAGATCCCTCGTGAATCACGCTATGCTCGCGCCCCCGAGTCGCCTCTCCGAGACTACGAATCCTGGCAAATGACGCCATACTTCCATCCCCGAGTACACGATCCTTCGTACCCAAACACCCGACGTCATGATTTGTTCATACTGTTGACCCCCAGAGTTCTCGACCCGTTCCACGGGACCGGTTCCTCCTCCCCAGTCGCTGTTGACGCTCCCGACGTCCAGTGGGGGCCCCCGGAGGCCGAAAACGAGGAAACACCTCCCGCCGTGACTTTTGTCACAGCGCGAGGGGGCGATGATGATGATGGTGATGATGATGAGGAGGAGGATGATGATGATGATGTGAGCATCATCATCAGCATCAGCATCATCATCATCAGCATCATCAGCATCCTCATCCTCATCCTCATCCTCATCATCATCAGCATCAGCATCAGCATCAGCATCAGCATCATCATCAGCATCAGCATCATCATCATCATCATCATCAGCATCTCGGGTTCGTTACTCGATGCTCGCAGCTCCGACTCTGTGACTCCTTGTGACTCATCACGCTGCCCGCGCCTCCGAGAGGCCACGGCCCCTCGCAAGCTAACGGAGAAGGTTCGCGCCCCCCGAGGCCACGACCCATTGCACCTCGCGCTGCACTCGCGGCCCCCGGTGCCGCGATCCCTGCCGAATCTCGGCGGCTGGCGAAGGCGGGGCAGTGAGAAGGAGAAGGCCCCCTCGTGAAACATCGCAACGGAAGGTGCTGCTCCATGTTCGGCCCCCCGGGGGCCCTCACCAGGCCTCGGGACCGTCCGAAGACGCCTCGGGACGAGAAGCCGTTCCCTCGGGGGGCCCCCGTCGCAGAGGTCGGCGGCCAGCGAGGGAGGGGAGCGAGAGGCAGAAGTCCTCCTCGGAGGGCGGCGGGACTTCTCGGAGGCCCTCGCGCCGTCTGAGAAGTGCTCTGTGTCTTCGGGGGAGACTTCGAACACTTCTTTGAAGGCCGGGGGACTTCCGGGCCCTCTGAGAAGGCCCGCCCCTTCAAACTTCCCCCGGGCTCGCCACCGGAATGAGGCAATCAATGTTCGTGAATTGTACCGTGTTCGCCTCTCCGAGGCCAAGATCCCGTCTAAATTACTGAATCTGGCGTCCCCGATGCCACGATCCCTCGTCAATTGCGCTAGACTCGAGTCCCCGAGACCATGAGTCTTCATACATAACTTTACATTCGCGTCCCCGAGGCCACAACCCCTTGTCAATGACGCAATGTTCGCGTCGATGCAACGATCTCTAATGAAGCATACTGCGCTCGCGCCACCAAGGCTACGATCCTTAGTAAATTACGCCAGACTCGCGTCCCGAAACCATTGCCTCTTGTAAGATATCCCGAGGAAAGCATAAACCGTCCAAGCCGCGCTACGTAGCCTCAAGCAACCCCGAATCGTTCCAAGAGGGTCGCCAATACACAGCATGAGAGGAAGTTCAAAACAAAGAAACACAGAGCTCAACAATAACCAGATGCCGATGATAATCAAGTTACCCCCCCCAAGTCGTTCGAGCTTTTTTTTATCGTCGGCCAATAAGAGTTTGGTCGGGGGCGCGGGGGCGCGGAGGCCGAACTTCATTATCACGGGAAAAGTTCGCCATCGAAGTTACTTCCTTCTTATGTTGAGATAACAACATCAAGCGAAGCGAACACGTTGTTTCAGGATGTCTCAAGCGAAACCAATGTCCTTCTGTCTCTTTGTAGTTCTTTCTGTCTCCCTTTCTTTCTTTCTCTGTCTCTCGTTCTCTCTCTCTCTCTGTCTCTCTATCTCTTTCTCCTTCCTGGCCTCTCTGTCTCTCTCTCTCTCGGTCTCTCTATCTCTTTCTCCTCCTCCTCCCCCTGGCGCACTGAACTTGTTTATCGCTGGGGTTGATTATCCAGGGAAAACGAGGCACGTGAGCTACCCTACACGAGCACTTAAAAATTATACTTTTCATAAAGCGCTTGTACATAATATCTAATACATTTGAACTTGAGATTTTTCCTTCTCTTTCTCCTCCTCCTCTGTTTTCTTTTCTGTTTGATGTTTTTCCTTTTTATGTGTCATTTCTTATTGTTTGTGTTTATTTTTGTTTTTGTATATCGCTTTCTCCATTCCTCCGCCCGCCTGAACTTTATTATCGCCGCGGTTGATTATCCAGGGACACCGAGGCGGATGAGCTATTCAGAGGATGTCTCAAGCGAAACAAGCATATACTCGAGGATGTCTCAAGCGAAACAAACATATACAGAAGGATGTCTCAAGCGAAACGATACGTTTCTTAAGCGAAATAAGCAATAGTTTGACGGTGTCTCAAGCGAAATAAGCAATAGTTTGTGGATGACTCAAGCGAAACAAGGATTTGTCGAGGATGTCTCCAGCGAGATCAGCCATTATTGAGGATATTTCTATGAAGACTAAACGCCAAGGATGTCTCAAAACGTGCTCGGCTTGGTCTCCTCTTGATCATCTCTTACTTCGAGATTATGCTGAGGTCTGGTGGGCTACTTTGATTATCTCCCCCTGAACCCCGAACTTTATTATCCCCTAGTGTTTATTCTCGAGGGTATACGGTTGTAATCTGGATCTCCATTCGTCTTGAAGACTATCAATCGCCCTCGCATGAGGTTTGGATGTTGTTTCTCGACGGCGCCCGAGCATCTAGAGGCCTCCCAGAAGGGGTTGGAGTAGACGGGGTCGGAGGATCGCTGATGCATCGGCGATGCATTGGCGATGCACCAGCGATGCAGCGTCGACGTCGACGATGCATCGGCGACGTCGACGTAAAGCAAATCGGTCTGCACGTCGAGCCGCACCGTCGATGCATCGGCGATGCGGCGCGATCCACCGGCCCCATCTACTCTGACCCCATCTGGGAGGCTGGCGGCAGAGGGCAAAGCCCTTGCGGATCAGAGGAGGAGCGGGGCCGCACGTTTCTCCGCCACCCACCCCTAGAGCCGCTCCTGCTGAATGGTGGTCGCGATCACGAGCTGCTTGTTGTTGCAATGCTTGCTGTGCCACCTAGGGCATCCCGGAAGCGGAGCTCACACTGAGCAATCGAGAAAACGCCTCTTCGCCATCGGCGAAAGCCGGCTGAAGTGCCGCAAAAGCCGGCGGAATTCAAGGCAAGAAATCGCACTGGGATTGATCATGACGGTGGCAAGCTGGCCGATCAGTAAGGTGGCCAGGCGTTGCAGCTTTGCCATTGTCGCAGCCTGGTGAACTGGAAGCGCAGAATCTCTTCTCGATTAGGACCCCGCTCCATGCAGATGGGGGAGAACGTGGGAGGGGCAAGAAGAGCGCAATCTTCATATTCGGAAATCTCGCTCCACGGTGAAAACCTCCTGGGAGGAGCGAGGAGGGGGAGTAGTAGCAGCAGCAGCAGCAGCAGCACGACCCGCACCAGCGTCCCCTTGACAACGTCGGCTGCGCAGAGCAGAACACCGAAATCGTGGCAAGAGACATGTGCCAAAAGGTCTCATGGACAGCGAGGAGGTGTGGGAGTTCCCTGGAGCCCCCCTGGCACCCCCCCCCCCGAAAAAAAAGAAAGAAGATCCTCCCCACGGAAAATTGATTGCTGGTGTTTTCCCCTGGAGCCCAGGGGGGGGGAGCTAGGGTGGTTCTTTGGATGGTGATGGGGCCCCATGATGATAAGCAATGATATTTCTGACCCCCCCCCCAAACAAGAAACAGGAAAACACATTAAAAACCAAAAAACAAACACTCGGATTTTTTTTCTGGCGGTTTTCCGGTGGGCTTATGGGAACGATCGAGCAAAACCCTCCACATCGCAATTCGGGATAAACCCCCCTGAGAAGCCCCCCATTCGTGCTTTAAATGCGTGTTTCTTATACTGTGTTTTCAAATGTTTTTTCCCGGGGGAGCCCCCGAACAAAAATCATTCCGGGATTTGTTAATGTTTCTTTCGGGGGTTCGGGCACCCCACACTGAAAACCAATACTTGTAAATTGTACGAACAGAAAAATGTCCCAAACAAAAAAAAACTACTCGGAATTTCTGGGTGCTTTTCGCTGGTGCTTATGATGTTTGTTTTCTGATGTTTTCCGAGGGGGATTCCCCGACAACAAAAACTTGGGAGTTCTTCGGGGGGGGTCCGGGGCCCCTCAATCAAAAACAAACTATGTCTCAAAGCCCCACCCCAAAACGAAAAAGCAACTCTGGTAATTTTCATGCGTTTTTAGGTGGGTCCTGGGCCCCACCTCGGAGGTTATTTGGGGAGGTGGGGCCCCTTTTTTTCAAAAAAGAACCTTCACCAAAAAAGTGAACCCCCAACTCAGGGTTTTTTCTTTGGTGTTTCCAAAAGTTCTGGGCCCCCTCAATCAAAAACAATAATATGTCTGAAACTCCACGGGGAAAAAAACGCCCCCCCTTACTCGGGAGTCTTTCTTTTTGGTGATTCGGGAGTTTCCGGGCCCGCGCAATAAAAAAGCAAACAAAAAAACAAAAAAACAAACAAACATACTTTGGGGCCGCTCCTTAGAACTATAGGCTTAGGTCGGGCATGACCTCCTACAGGCGGATTTTGGAAGAAAAATAACAATCAAAAGAGTAATCAAAACAAATGGTCAAAGTAGCACGGAAAATCGCCACCAGGCTCTTATTCTACTCTTCTCGAACACTCCTCCTGCAGAGGGACCGGCCCGACTTGACCCTGGGACCCTCCGGCCTTCCCCCAGGACGAAGTCTTCCTCCTGCGCCGCTCCCTGGCAGTCCTGGGGCCCGTGGAGGGCCCACAGCGCCCGAGGACGGCGACAAGCCTCAGGACCCGCTCCCCGGACATGCCCGGCCCGACCTGCGGCGCTGCGCCGCCGCCTGCGTCCGCTCCTCCTGCTCTTCGAAGGTCACGGGCAAGAACCTGCTGTTTCACCGAGCGTGCGTATCGGAGGCTCCTGGAGACCGGCCCCGACGGCTCTGCTGCAGCGTCCGCGTTCGCCGCGGCCCCGAGGGACGCTCGCAGGTCGGGCCCAGGCGGAGGGAGAGGAGGAGGAGGAGGAGGAGGAGGAGGAGGAGGAGGAGGAGGAGGAGGAGGAGAGGAGGAGGAGGAGGAGGAGGAGGAGGAGGAGGAGGAGGAGGAGGGGAGGAGGAGGAGGAGGAGGAGGAGGAGGCGGAGGAGGAGGAGGAGGAGGAGGAGGGCTCCTTGAGGTCGGGGAGCCCGGCAGGGACCCGCCTCCCTCGGGACGCGCCCGGCCTGCCCCTGACTCGGGGTGCCGCTGTGCGGCCGTGGCCCGACGTGGCCCAGACGCGCCCCGTCGCTCCCGATACGGCGTGCACTACGGTAGCACACGACCGACTGCAGAGCGCTGCGGGTCCAGCCGATCCGATCCTCCTCCTCCTCCTCCTCCTCCTCCTCCTCCTCCCTCCTCCTCCTCCTCCTCCTCCTCCTCCTCACTCCTCCTCTCCTCCTCCTCTCCTCCTCCTCCTCCTCCTCCTCCTCCTCCTCCTCCTCCTCCTCCTCCTCCTCCTCCTCCTCCTCCTCCTCCTCCTCCTCCTCCTCCCTCCTCCTCCTCCTCCTCCTCCTCCTCCTTCTCCGCTGTCTCCTCCGCTCGATCGATCGAGTCTCTTCTCGGCGCCACGCCCAGTGCGGAACACAGAGGGGGCGGGGCCTCAGAGGGCTCAAAGGCCTCCGGCCTTCCAGGTGGCTGTCGAGAAGCCTTCTCCGGAGCTACGGAGGGCCCTTCCCAGAGGGCCGAGGGTTTCTCGAGAGGCCCCACCGCCTTCCGAGAAGGTCCGCCGCCTTCGGAGGAGGCCCGGACTGCCCCGGCCCTTTCTCGATTACATCCCCCCTCGGAGCGCCGCCGAACTTCCGCACGTTCGCCCAGAACCAATGTTCCGGACACCTCGGCTGGAGTTGTTACCATGAGTTTGGGGTACGAGACGTCAGAACCATCAGGATTTATTGCGACTGTTGATTTGTATATTGTAATGGCCCCCGGCCAGTGCCACCGATCCGGGGCGCTCCCGATGCTGCCAGGAATGGAAGACGACGACGACAACGGGCAGCCGACGACGACGACGACGACGACGACGACGACGACGACGACGACGACGACGACGACGACGGGAGCACGACGGCAACGACGACCGACGAAAGCGACGACCACGAACGACGAACGACGAAGGAAGAAACGCGAGTGACGACAACGAGGGGACGACCCTCCTCGTTTGAGAGACGACCGACGACCGACGACGACGACGAGTGACAACGACCGACGATGGAAAACGACAGTCGCGTGGACAACGACGATGACGAACGACGACCGAGGCGGAGGAGGAGGAGGAGGAGGAGGAGGAGGAGGAGGAGGAGGAGGAGGAGGAGGAGGAGGGGAGGAGGAGGGAGGAGGAGGAGGAGGAGGAGGAGGAGGAGGAGGAGGAGGAGGAGGAGGAGGATCGGGAACGGTATCGGGCCCGTTTGAATTCAACTCCGACGTCTGCCTGGCGCCTGCGAACATCTACCTGGCTTCATAGTGTAGGGGGGATTTGGGGGAGGCGAGTCACTCGCCAAACCTTGAGAGCGCGGCCCGTGGGTCACGACGGACGCCGCGCCGCCCCAGCGAGCACCCTTGGACAGCACGCAGATTTGGGGGGGGGGGGGGGGGCAACCATCGGGACCTAGGATTGCTACCGACCTCGCCCTTTTTTCCCGCGTCCCCGCGCCATTTTGCCTAGACGACCCCCCCTCTCGCTGAGCCGCGGGGGCGGTGGAAACTCGCGGGCTATAGGCCGCGGGGGCGGGGGGGGAGGGGCCGAAACTCCAAAACTGCAGGAGAAATCGAACCTCGCCGAACTAGCTCCGCCAACCTCGAACCCCCCCGAAGGGTCTCCGCGATTCTGACGCCTCGGGGATCCATGGGCCCACGGCGAAACGAATTCAAATTAGTCGGAGGCATGCTGCCGCTGCTGCTGCTACCTGCTACTCGTTCGGGGCTGTGGCGCCAGCCTTCCCTGCAGTCATGAGGCGCTTGCCGCTGAGCTCCGCTAGCAGCTTCGCTGCGCCCCGCTCCAACGGGCCCCGCGGGGCTGGGCCATTGCGCCTCTCGGCCCCGATGTTCTTCAGGATGTCTCCCACGATGCCGATCAGAGTCGGGCCAAGCGCGTCCGCGTCGTCGATCGCGTAGATCATGCAACCCCTCGCGTTGCCCTCCTGCTCGGCTTTGTTTCTTTTCTACTGCCAACGCAGCGCCGGCGCCCTGGCTTCCTGGATCGATATCTTGGCCAGCATGTCCGCCCAGAGCTCTCGCGCTGCTGCCGCCCACTTCTCCTGCGTGGCGTCGGGCCCCCTGGACAGCGTGGCTGCCCAGTGGAACGCAAGCATGAATATCGCCACGATCGGCGGGCCCCTGCTTGCGAGGTCCACCACCTCGCCGCCCTCCTGTCCTGGCACGCCAGCTCTTTCTGCGTCGAGAAGTCGGCGTCCACCGCTGACGTCGCACGCCCCGTAGTCCGCCAGCGCGCGTCTGTCCGCGAGCGCCAACTTGGCGAGCGGCAGCGCCAGGTTCTGCAGCGCGCTGGCGCCTTCTGCCGCCCTGCGGGCCTCGTTTCCGGCGGCGCCGCGACCCTTCTTGGCGGGCGGGGCGGGCGACGGGCCCCCCCGCCCTCGCCGGCCCCCGCAAGTCCGCGGCCTCCTTCGCCCTCATCCGACGCGGTCTCGCCCGCGAGATACGTGCCGATCTGTCCTCCTGGCAGGGGGCAATCGATCTCCACTGGGCGGTGACTCGCAGCCAAGCGGCCGCAAAGGCCACCCGCGCCACTCGAGCGATAATCCCAGAGAACGCAAACCAAAGAAACATGAGGTTTAGTTCCCGTGCATGTAAACGAACCTCGGGACGGACATGCCCCGTTGATGTGGGCTCTCTGGAGGTGCTTGTAGGCGTCTCACTGGCTGGCGAAGACCCTCCAGCATGCCACGCGCGTTAGGTCGGCGTAAATGTCGAACATAAGTTGTGCACTCGGCGTTCCCGTCGCGCGCGATTCACGAGATCCCTCCTCGTTTGAAACGCCCC